AACGTCTATGTACAATGAGCATAAGGGACCTATATCGAAGCTCTCAAACTGGTGATTGCTACTCCAAGCTATAGATTTGAAATGAAGGGGGGAAATACCATGAGCTAAAAGCCCTATAAGTCTTAAGTTTAAGCTACAAACTTCGGTCCTAAAACCCCTAGACCTACACACATGAAGAACATAATAAACAATTTAACCAAGCTAAATAATATTATAAATTTTAGTAGTTAAATAATAACTTAATATCACAAGTTGTTCATAGTTAATCAAACAGGTCAAGGAATGTTCAATGACATTTGAATCAAATCCATATCATAAAATCTTAGCTCACCAATGTGATGTCACAAGCATAATGCATAAACCGAAATTCACACAATGATATGGAGTTCATTAATGTGTGCTAGCAACACTTATACCAAAGCAAATCACGGCACTCACCTTGTTGCACAAAGGTCCATTAATTACCCCAGAGGATCCACTGAATACCCCAAACTTTAAGCTTAGGTCCACTTACTCTATAGCCACAAACACATACACATGTCAAACAAAATTCAAAACACGTTCAAAATAATTATAGGAATAATTCCATTCATTTATGAATTTTGGCTATGAATTTTTAAAGCAATTAGCAATAATTTTGCTAATTCTAACTCACTGACTTCATCCACAACAACATTGGACATTGATTTCTTATTTTAACAATGCAATTAATGCATGGTTATTCAACCAAAATTCAAATCAAGGGCAGCAAGACACGGGAAACACCCACAATCTAATTAAGTGTTCACAAATTTTACTTTATCATGCAAGTTTTCAAAGGTCTTCACACAAATATATAGGGAAATACCAAAACAACAATAGCAAGATATAAACCAGTAATATTCACATAAAATTCTAGCATCAAAATGAAACCCACTTCTAATTCTATACCATACATATACCTAGGGGTGTTCATATCTAATCCAATCTGATTGATACGACCTAAACTGATCCAATCCGATTAAAAACCAAACCAAACCGATATAAAATTAGGTTGGCTTGGATTATAAAAATTTAAAACCATAATAATTGGTTTGATTTGTGGTTTTACTTTCAAATTACCCGAACCGCCCGATTATAAAAAAAAAATCCGATTATAAGATAATTAAATAATATAATATTTTTATAATATTTCAAATTTTCTTTTTCTTATTTTACAAGATCATAACTCTGTTGATTTAATTAAAAATAAAAATAGCATATCTTATATTTCCTAATTTATTATTATTATTTTTTTAATTATATATCAAAATTTTAATTCTAAATTTCAAATTTCCTTACAATTCTACCTTTATAAGTGAGTTGCAACTTTATTCTTAAAAATCTACCTTCTTGAGTGGCGTGCACTTGCCAAGGTTGTTGTCTTCATTTTGCTGGGTTGTCGTCTTCATTTTGCTGAGTTTATTTACATAATATGGGTGTTGACACCATGGGTTAATAATCCAGAATCAAATTTTTTGTTTCCTGTTTTGTGTCGACACGTAATTCAGGATGTCAGCACTATATGTTCAGCGTTCAACATAAGTTTCTTATTCTGTTTCAAAATCATATTTCTGTTTCAAATCCTACTTCTATTCCAATTAGGGTTTCAAATCCTACTTCTATTCCAATTAGGGTTTCTAAAACCTTATAAATACTCATCCAAATTCAGAATTAAAAGAGCTTGGGAAGCTAGTGGCAGCCCTCTTTTGGGTTTTCCTGGAGATCAAGATAAAGATTTAAAAATTTGTTTATAATTTCTAAATCTTTTCAATTTTTACAATTGTAAAAGAATATAAGAATTTGCTTATAATTTATACTTTTTTTAATTATGTTTCTATTTATTTGGATATTAACGTATTTTATATTTATGTTTTTTATTTAATGTTAAATTTATTTACATTATTTCATATATTTAATAGTGTTAAAAACCGATCAATCCGACCGAACCACACCGATCCGATTTAAATTGTATTGGTTTGGTTATCATATAATAGTGGATTGGATTGACTTAAAAATTTTACTAACCAATTAAATTGGATTGGATTAAAAAATGTTAAAATCCGAACCAAACCACACCGCGAACACCCCTACATATACCCAATATACCCAAAAATCCAACAAAAATCTCTTAAACAAAAGATTTAGAGTCGATTTCACTAATTTAAACTAATTTTTAGTATATTATAGTAAATTTATAATTTACCCAAGACCTTAACCCAAATTTATAATTAAAACTCATACTTACCTATTGAAATCAAAGCACCAAATCGAAGAAATCAGCAAAATTTGGAAAGGAATCTAAAGAAAAAACATAGTAAAAGCAACAACAACTTCCCTCTTTCACCATCACAACTTGGACACTTGCAGGAGAATGGGTTTTGGGAGGTTAAGTCAAAAAGAAAAAGGGATTTTGCTTTCTAAAATCTTCTTGAGAAAGCCTCTGGTGACTTGGTTCACAAATTGCCACGTCTCAAATTTTGGCTAATATAGTTAGATAGTTCCCAACTATCTCAAATTTCACATAAAGTTCACATACTCTAAATCTAATCAATTTAATCCCTAAAACTCTTAAATTAAAGGACTCTAATTTCTAATCTATTCACTAAAGTGTATGGAGTGTTATAGTTAGTTGATATGTCCTCACCATATGTGATTTGTTAGGTTTATAAAATAAGCTTGAAGTTCTCAGAATCTATTAAGGTTTAATACCCTTTTTGGCCCCTCTACCATAAGAAAAAGCCCTTTTTTGGTTATTGTATCGAAAAAATCCTCTTTTTGGTTCTTACTGTTCACAAATCCGGCCCCTTTTTAGTCCTTTCATTAAATTTTGGCTGATGTGACAAATTAATTAACGAAAACACTCATTCCTTTTTTTTTTACTAAATTACGTGGAAAATCCATGTGGTAAAAATTGATGACATGTTAAATTTTTTACCTTTAATTACTGATATACCCTCATCTTCTTCCCCGGCTTCTCCTTCCTCCAGCCTTTTTTTTTTTCTTTCTTTTTTTCCTTTTACCTCTAGGCAAACAGCCTGGGTTCGCAAGGAGCCCAACTCGCAGGTTCACGACGAACCCAGGTCTTGGGTTCGCGACGTCCGTGAAATCTCTGGGGCTTTCCTAGCGAAATGATACACATCATAAACTTTACTTTTAACAATATTTTATGATCAAATTTTTTAAATTTTAACCTGGTAATAACTAATGATATACTTTCTTTTTAAAATCTTGTAGATTGGACCATGGAAAATACATTCAAACTGTTACCATCCTCAGGCAGAAGCTGTAAGATCATTTACTTATTTCAGAATGAATGTTAAAATATTTAGGGTTGAGAATTGGAATAACTTTGTATGCATTGTTAGAATGATGAGCATGGATCTGTAAAAATGCTGATAAGCCTACCTAACCATTTCCAACACTAATTAAGCATGGTAATCTCACCACCCCTACCTTACTTTTTCTGGGTGTGGGGGTGATGTCCTAAAAGGCTTTACAACTTTTCAAGTATCTTGTTAAGAATACCTATATCCTTGGTAAATTTTGATGGTTTGGGGTACTAAGTACCAAAGGAGAAATTTTTTTTTTTGGAATAATGATAGAAAGTAGAAAAAATTTGGTTGGCTGGATTTTGTCATTGTTAACCTTTTTGGCAAATTAGAGATGGGGAAAATTGAGAGGTGTTACATAGTTTTCTGGAGTTTCTCGCCCTGAACGTGTAAAGAAAGCACCATTAAACATTAAATCTCCAATTCCTGTTCTTCCACTCAGCACCATTTGAATCTTCCCATTCCTTCACCTGAATGAGAATCGAGGGTAATTTCAGCACTCAGCACCTCGATTCTGCAATTAGGTGAAAGGCTATTGCACGAACGTCATGAGCCCAAGACCTGGGTACGTTGCGAACCCACGAGCTGGGTTCCTCGCGAACCCAGGCTCTTGGGTTCGCCTGAAGGTAAAAGAAAAAAAAGAAACAAAAAAGGCTTGAGGAAGGAGAAGCCGGGGAAGAAGATGAGGGTATATCAGTAATTAAAGGTAAAAAATTTAACATGTCATCAATTTTTGCTACGTGGATTTTCCACGTAATTTAGTAAAAAAAAGGAATGAGTGTTTCTGTTAATTAACCTGCCATATCAGCCAAAATTTAACGGAAGGACTAAAAAGGAGTCGGATTTGTGAACAGTAAGGACCAAAAAGGGAATTTTTTCGGTACATGGACTAAAAAGGGGCTTTTTCCTATAGTAGAGGGACCAAAAAGGGTATTATTATAAAAGAAACTAAATAAACCAGTTAATATGCATGTTGAATTTGATTATTTAGCCATATATACATTATAAGTCAATGTTGGATTAAAGTTTAGACTACATGTTGGACATGTAGATATGGCTTTTGAAAACTTTAATTGATGCTAGCTACTATGTTATTTTGTTGTGGTTTAATATTAAATTGTCTTGCTATAACTAAAGTACAAGCATGGCAATGCATAAAGTGTTGTTTATATGAGCTAAAGAATGAGAATTGATTTATGACATAAAAATGCATCATTTTACATGTTGCATAGAATCTATGGTATGATACCTAAGCTAATAAGTAGGTAAGATACTTTTAAAGTTATTTGGAGTAACAAATAATGATGCTCCTAATGTATTTAGGGTAAAGAGAGAAGATATCTAGAATGATACTTGAGCTCCTAAACTAGGTAAGAACTCCTAAAGAAGCTGGAGTAAGGAAAGAAGATATCTAGATTCACTGGACAATAGGAAAAATCATTGGTTGGACCATTGGTATGGTGGGATGTACACCCACAAGGCAAAATTCATAGATAAGAACTTCCATTTCATCTGCTTGTTAAACAAGCATAAGGCTACCTTGCTATTATCTTATGTTTTTGGAAATATTTATGTTTCGTTTATTTATGACATTGATGAAACTATTCAGTATTGATACGTGTTGATAGAATTGATTTTGTGCTTCTTGAGGTAAAGGAACATATTTTATTGTCACGCCCCAAAACCCAAATCCAAGGGCGAAAACAGATGCTGTACACTTGTGAGAGGATCCCACAAATGCACAAGGCTCAAAACTTATTAAATTCATAACTACAATCCATGGAACAATTTTGCAAAAATATGAAAATAAAATTTATTCTGCAAACCTAATTACAAAATAAACTAAGTCCAAATATATGTGGCTAGTCTAACTCCAAGATAATCTAAGTCTGAAACACAAATGGCTAGCCTTTTAGCTCGTCACTCCCCTTAGTTTTCCCACGTCTTTGGTTTTAGTACCTGAAATGGTAGATAAGGAAAAACTCTGTGAGATAACTCAGTAAGTAAGAATATGGATTGCCTTTAATTAAAGTTACAACATGCCAATAAGTGTAATCAAGTATCAAGAAAAAAAATGGTTACAAGTACAAGAATGAAATAGACGTCTCCTCTATAGGTCATGGCTAGTGTTTATAAACCTCCCATTGGTGGGCATAGTAGTAACCAGTGTATTATCCCATTGGCCGGAATACAAGATGAACCAGTTCCTAGGAATACATGTCGACATGTGCTAGCATTTATAAACCTCCCACTAGCGGGCACAGTAAAACATGACCATATTGGAGACAAAACCAGGCAGGATTTAACAGGAAAATCATAATTTACAAATAATTTCCAGATCATTAGGGCAATTAAGTAAACTCCAAGTAGGCATGCTCAACTCAATGAAAATGATAATAATTTCATTTCAACTAATCATGCTCGTGTTTGTGTAAAACAGATTTAGTCCTGCCACCATTTCAAAACCATCAGAAATATGCTTTCAAAAACCTTTACCTCAAATCCAAAGGCATTATCATACTTTTACTTACCTCTGCTTGTAGCCTTACAACAACAAGTATTCAAGGTTTAAGGGAGATGGTGGTGACTTAGAACCTATTTCATAATCAAGAACAATAGGTTCACAACATGCCTCATTCAACTAAAATTGATCTTTAATTCTAGCACCGAATTCTATCCCAAAGGAACAATATCTCCATATCTTCTCTTGCCATTCTACCCACCAAAACCTTACTAGTATATATAAATAACTCACACGCATAGTCATATATAAATTTCCAAAGATGACAGCTGACCTTCCAAACGTTTTCGACAAGGAGCAACAAAACTCGGCAAATGGCAGAAAAAAATTCTAGGGACAAACAATGCAGAAAACAACAAGGAAAAATGCAGCAAAAATGCAAAATTTTTCTCGAAAAAATACAGAATTTTCTAGTTTAAAACCAGTGCAGAAAACAGTTGGGGAAATATAGCAAAAATGCAGAAGCAAAAGTAGTCAAGATTGCAGAAAAAATGCAGCAAAACAGATTGCAGAAAAATATAGCAGAAAACAGATTGCGGAAAAGTATAGCAGAAAAACAGGTTACAGAAAATGCAACAGCAAAAACAGCATAATTTTTCTACGTGAACAGTAAAATTTTATGACAAAAACAGCAGAATTTTTTAGTAAAACAGCAGCAGAGACAACATAATTTCCTGCATGAACAGTAAAATTTCATGGCAAAAACAGTAGGGGAATCTAAGCAGAACATTAGCTAAACAGTAGACAAACAGTGTCACAATCTTTCAAAAAGATAAGAAACGGAATACTCATAAATCCTATGCATTTTCCCCAAATCTAAAATGGTTAATATTCAACTAAATCTACCAAAATTAGAGAAAGAATGAGATTGGTTTCATGCTCACATCTTACCAAAAAATTGAGAGAGAGAGAGAGAAACAGTTCCTCCTAAAATGGAAGCCCAGAAGGCAGAGATAGCCAGAACTTGAGAGGGGCTAGCATCTGCTTGCCGAAAAGAGAAACCCAAGGCTGTTGAAGGCAACATACCACTTTGGTGGAGTGGGGAATAATGAGCTGCTACTTAGGGGACTTATGAGATGTGGGTGAGAGGGTTTGGAGTGGAATTGGTGATGGGAGTTGGTGAGGGATGGAGGATGGTGGTGACGAACTGAGGATGGTGGGGGATGAATTAAGGTTTGAAAACAAGAAGAAGAATGGGGGAATCGGGGAGCTTATACTCCTGAAACCCAACCCCACCTTTTTTTTTTAACAACACCCCCCTTAAGTTTGAAATTTGTGACCATTAGGCCCAGAAGAAGATAGTTTCTCCCACATAAGTCCCTAACTTAAATTCTAAGGTCTTAGAAAATTTTGGGATATTACATTTATAGTTTTTAGACACAAGTTGCTATGTGAGTAGACAATAATTAATACAACAAATACAAATATAACCAATTATAATTAGAGGGACAAAAGTACGAAACATCTATAGAAAAGAATCTTTTAATTGCTTTTAGGGATTTCTACCTTTCTAGCATCTAGAATGATAAAAACATGTTTTACATCTCTAACTTATGCAAGTTTACGAATATATTTATTAACTCCATATTAAAACATAAAAACATACACTATCAAATTTAAATTTAACAAAAAGTATCAATTGCATTCACCTCATATGATAATAGATAGACTAAAATCAAATTACCTGTATATCTAATTACCTGTAAATAAATCATCAATACAAAAACCAATTCAATATTAAGTGTGAGATTATAGAGTGAGAAAAGGATTGATAGCAGTATGTAAATATACCATTCCCATCATCTGAACCACCAACATAACTTGGCAAATTTGATGATGTTGGCCTTTTATGAGTATTTCTATAAAAAGAGTTAGGATATGAAAATGATAAATCATTCACATCAACTCCATCAATGGAACCATCATTTGAGAGTAAAAAAAATGCCCTACACTTTTGTATACATCCATGAAGTTAGGACTCTACCATTATCATTAGAAGTAGTTGTTCATATATAATTAATTATTTTGTCTGAATCTATGGCTTTTGTTTGGACAACTACAGTTGCTAGTATTTCACAATGATAAAGATTTAACAAAAATATTAATATTGTAAACAACATAAATAGCCAGCAGGAACAAGTAAAAAAAGGAAAAATAATTTCATACTAGGTCCAATCATAATCCTCTAGGCATCGCTATCTCTTCTTGCATCTAATTCCCTAAGTATCGATAAATATATGAACAACATGTATGCATTATAAAGGGAAAAAGGTTATAAAATTAACTTAGAACCATAAACTTCAGCTACAAACAGGAGAGGAAGAAAAGCAAATGAAAAAAAAAAAAAAAATTACCTCCCTAATACATGAATCTATATCCCTTAAATTGTTACCTAAAACCTTAAGATATGTATTGACAACATGTCCAATCAAATAACAAATTTGATAAATAAATTGTAGATGAAGTTCTTGCTCAAAATTAAGATGACCCCTTGTTAGATTTGACTGAGAATGATATTGTTAAGTGGTGTGTGGCTTTTCAAAAAAATAGAAAAACACCAAAAAGAGAGAAAATGATTTAGGAAATTGTGGAAGAAGGATGTATAAAGAGCAAACCTAATAACAAAATATAAAATATGTCTTCTTTTTTTTTTTTTTTATGACTTTTGTTCAAAGAAAGCTTAAAGAGCACTAGAATAGAAAAATAAGTCAAATATCATCAATAAACACCAACTAGTAAAGTTAAGATGATAAGATTGCCTTAGGTTATAAGAAACTCAAATGAAATATTACCTTGGATTTTGCCATCAAATCATTGAATAAAGAGAAATCACAATTTTCTTCAACCAGCAGTTGGAAGAAGTCTAATTTTGGAATCCAAAATTCCTCAAAAACTTATAATAAAAAACTAATGGGTATTTATGTTTTTATTTTAAATTATTTAGTTTTAATATTTGATTTTTAAAAAAAGTTCATTTTTTTCAAATTTTAAATTTAAGTAATTGAAATTTATCACAAACATTCTATAAAAAAATAGGTTAAATAGCGTTTTTTTCCTAGATCAATAGAAATGTAAACTTGCTTATTTCAATTTTATTCAAACCCTATTAGTGCTACGATTATCTTCTCCAGACTTATCCTCTAAACCAATATATATATGTATATATATAAAGAGTGGAACCCTAATTCTAACTACATCAACTAAGGAGAGGTTAACAAAGTTCGTGGGAGGATTAGGCAACAAGAGGTATGCTAGACATATTCCCATCAATTTTTTAAGATTTTAGCCAACAATTTAACAATAAAATAAGTCAAAATTTTATAGAGAAAATGATTTTAAGTTACCTGAATGACAAATCTTCCCCTCTCATCGATATCTCCTTAATTATACCTTCTTCTTTTTTTTTTTTTTTTTTTTGTATCACCACTGTTGCTGTCTTTGGTTGCAACCTTTGCTTCTAAATAAGGCTCCTTTTGTTCATCCCTTTTATTTTACTCTATGATTTTGAATTTAGAGAAATCGATGGTGATTGATCTATGGGTTTAGAGTATTTTCTAGATTTGGGATTAAGGGATTATAGAGGAGCAAATCTTTTAATGAGACTTTGGGGGATTTTTGTTTAAGAGGTGAACGATGGGGTTGGGTGAGAATGCACGAATAAAAGAAAAGAGGAAGAAAGAAACCAATGAATAGTGCATTGGAGAGGGCAACGGGTTAGGACGAAGTAAATTTTCAAATGGTCGGAGGATTTTTAGTTAATTTTAAAAAGGGAACTGGTTAGGTAAGGTGAGAAAGATTACAATAAATAAATGATGGGAAAAGTAATGTTTTTTTTTTTTATTTTAAATAATTGGATTTTCGAACAAAAGAAAGGAAAGAAGGAATGTCAAAAAAATAAAAATAAAAATAAAAATAAAAATAAAAGCAGGGTATTCTAGTACTTTTTTTTTTTTTGACCAAATTTTACAAAGGTGGGTTTCGAATCCACCATGGGGAGGGGGTAATGCACCTACAAGGGCAGTTTGAAGGCCACTTAACCCGGAGAGTCAGGTGCGGGTATTCCAGTACTTTTTTCAACATAGAACTTAATTTCCATAAGTTACTTTGTTTTATTTAATAATTAACTATTAGTTATTAGTTATTGTAAATGAAGAGTGTATTAGATTTTTTTAAAAATATTTTTCTTAAATTAATATTTATATTATGGTCTAATAAAGAGAATGATTGGCAACAATTTTTTTTTGTAGTTTTTAATGTAGTATTTTCTTTTAATGTTACTTGTAATAGTATTGTTCCTTCTATAAGTTACGAAAATGGAGAATGTGAATATAGCATTAAATGAAAATGAAGAACAAGTTGATACATTTTTAGTTTTATTTATATTTTTATATTTTATTTAAAGAATAGTTGATTTAACTTCTTTATGTATTTTTATTTTAAATTTAAATCATATCTTATTATTATTTTAATACTTAGTTCTTTTGAGGAAAAGTGAACGTCACCTATCAAGAAATCTTACTCTTAAAAAAAATAGAGAAAGGTCAACCTTTAAAGCTCTAATTCCCTCTTGAATTTAACAAAGTATGTGAAGAAGATGCATCCTTTATTAAAACTGAAATTGGCATATGTATTAAATATTTTGCTAAACCTTATTTCAAGTTGGAGTAAGCTTGAAGAGAATGTCAAAAATATTATATGAACATTTTTGAAGGTAATACTTTTTTTGTTTTTTTAACTACAAAGCACTTATTATTCTTCTTTATTTTTTGAAGTACAATGACTAAATAAAAATTAATAATGATGCTCACCCCCACTATCCCTGTTCATCATGCAAAACAATTCCTTGGATTTCAAAACCAGTCTGTTAGCTCACAAACCGATGTTTCTCTTTTTATTTTTAAGTAGTTAAAGGCTTAAATATGAATAATTTCGAATACCTCATTAAGCTCTACCTCGGCATCTCCTCTTGAAATACACATCTATTTCTACGTAACCTAATATAATTTTATACAATAATAAGCCAAATAATCTTCCATTCTTCCCTCATTTTTTAAGGTAATGTTATTTATTTTGTTTGACAAATATATTAAAAGTTAATTTGCAATGTTTCAATTTAAATGATTGTAATTAATTTAATTTTATGTTAATATTTCAATATAAATTCAAGTTAGATGAGAATGCCTGCAATATTGTAATGAAACAATGTCAAACTCAATTCAAGACATGACATATCAAATTATACAAAAAATACCGTACAAAGAGAATTTGTACAAATTATGTTGAAAAAACTAAGTGGAATTGATTAATTCAGAACAAAAGAAAAACTAACAAATTCTATATGTATTTTAACATTTAATTATTTCACTTTTAATTTTAAATATTTAAATTTTATTTATTTATTTTTATTCTATGATTCAATGAATCATAGAGTTTTAATCTCATGTATCAAATTATAAGACAACAGTAATAAAAATAGTTTTAATAGGATGAAGGTTCAAATCCAATTAATTACTAGTACTAAATCAATTATTCAAATTATTTATGAACTAATAATCACTAATTTTTAAATTTATAATATGTAATAGTTTTTTGTATATATTTTAGTTGGTTATGATATAACTTTTGATTGATTTCCTTTTGTTATAATAATAGAATGAAGGGTTAGAAACAAAAACATTGCCCTCTACTCCAAAAGTGTGGAAAGTGAGAGGATTAATGCAAACAAGCAGTGAAAAGTTCTTAAGAGGAAATAATTTTGATAATTATTTGCATCATTTTTATATATTTATTTGTTGCTTTTTTTATAATAATTTATTTTTTTCTATAGGAACAACTTTAAATTGTTGGAGTGAAAATGATGAAGAGAATTTTTCCGATCCTTTTCATTCATAGAATATTTTAAACAAGGGATGGGATGACTCAAAAAGAGATATGATTGAGGTTTGGGGATAGGAGGACTTTTGAATTGCTATAAAGAACAAAATTTAATTAAACCAAATGAAGAACATGTGACAAAATGTGTTGATGTTTTAGAGAAAGAGGTTTCAAATTTGAGTGAGACTATAAAGATGTAAGAAGATATAATTACCCAGTTATACAATTTGATTGAAAATTTGTAAAATCAAATTAATGAATATAAGAATGCATGAAGCAAAATTGA